CTTATGTCCTTGGCTTGTCCCGCCACTAACCCTCTAGTTCCAATGGACCTAGCCAGTTCCCTGACCGCCCAAACCATTCTATCGGAGGATATCTCCGCCGTGGTTATGTGCTCAAACGCAAGAGACAAGAGAGCTCCTCCAGAGAGAATGGCTACTCCTTCACCGTAGGCTTTGTGAGTGGTGGGCTTTCCACGACGCAGATCGTCATTGTCCATACATGGCAAGTCGTCTTTAATTAGGGACATGGTGTGTATCATCTCAACCGCACATGCCGCTGGCATGGCAGCGGTTTCTTGGCCACCTACTAGCTCGCAGGAAGCGAGGCAGAGTATAGGCCTTACACGTTTTCCGGCTGCAAGAACTGCGTAACGCATGGCTTCATGGATCTTGAGTGGTTCACCGACTGGTATGGCTTCGTCTAGAGCTTTGTTCACTGCTTCAGCTCTGCTCGTCATGTACGGATCGAAATCGAACGTGGAACTTGAAATTGTATAGATATCTTCTTCCTCTACTACTTCTTCCACGATGGGAGAATCAAGAAACTCGGCTACTTCTTTTCTTGATAAAATGGCGGCCTTGGCTTGAGTTTCCAGAGAAGGCTGGAGCATGCGGCTTAGCTTTTGCTTGATATACTGAAATAAGAAGTTTAGAGAGAGAGCGAGGAGTGAGAGATAGAGAAAGATAATTTGAGCTTCCATTTTTCATCAAAAACAAACTTCTTTCTAGCTCGGGCTACTTGTCGTTTGTCTAATATATAAGTATATAATATATGTTAACCGATGGTTTATTAGAAAGAAAGCAAGATGCAAAAATACATGTAACCTCTACATGATCTCTTCACGTTATGTTATTCTAATTACGTAAAAGAAAGCAAGATCCAAAAAACATGGACCTCGTGAAAGCCAACTTCTTTCCTCTTCATATTCTCTTCACGTTTGCATTTTTTTTTCATTTTCATAAAGCGCTAATCTTCATTTAGACGCAATTGTAATTGAACTACAATTTTTAAATATAAATTATGTTGATAAGAATATATTTTCATATGTATTATTTAGATCTAATATATACTTATCTTCATTTAGACACAATTATACTTTCATCTAACAAAACGCTTACAGCAAACTAAAATAATCCTGTTTATTTTTTTGTATTCATATGTATATCTTACATATATATGTTCTATGATTTTTATTTTTGCTAAACTAGTTCTAAATTGTTACATTTATACATGTTTATACTCGTGTATCCTTTTTACATATGTGAAGTTTTTGGGGCATGCTTTTTGGACCCATTTGGGGCTCGAGTAACAATCGTTCACACAAACAATAACCAAAAACATCAGCCCAATCTGCTCTTCTCCCTTATTTTTATCTCTCCATCACCAAATCTGTATCCTTCATCAACAACTATATATCCTACATCATCAAACTTGAGTAAGTTTTCAATGTTTTTTTCAATTCAATTTAATTAAATTACAAATGCAGTTATGTATATTTAGGGTTTGTTTGCTTCAACTGACAATTTCAAATGCAGTTGTAAATTCGTGACAGCTATTTTATTCGTATAGTTTATTAAAAATACGCATGAAAGATGCTTGTTAAATTATTTAATAAAAACTTGTTAGTATGGTAAATACCTTTTAAATTTTTTATTGATATGATATATTAGTCATTGCTTAGCCTCCTAACAGCTAACTTACCTTCACACACACTTTTAGTGATTTAAAATATTTAAAATAGATAAATCTGTAATTACATGTTACATGGGTTATAGTTTTATATTATCCCTGATATATTAAAGAAAGATCATTACAACTTTTTATCTATGGCACGTATCATCACTAGCTAGAATGATTAATAAAATCACGAGAAAATTAAGTTGATTCATTTAAATATCTACCCTAGTTTTTATTAAACTAATCACAAATTAACTATTATGTACAAAATCATACATTTTTTCATAAATAAAAGCGATGGAATTATATAATATGATTAAAATATATATTACAATCAATGTTTCTAAATAATAAAGATTTAGTAACAACTTTTATATCATTTATGTTTAATTTTATATTAATAAAATAACGAGGAATTCCCAAGAATATTTCGTTTAGTTTATTTTTACGAAAACAACCTCCAAAGAAAAAAGTGATCAAAAGAAGTTTATTAAAAATAATATACCCTTTTATTCCTAGGGTTGACTAATCTTAGATTTTTCTTTATAGTTAAGGGGTGAAGTTTCGGAGGTGAGGTTTAAAATTAAAAAAAATATTGAAAATTTAAAAATAATTCTTTTTAAATAGTTTCAAAAAATATTTTCGAATTTTAAAAAGAAATTTTTGAAAAAATATTTTTTTTATGAAAAATCATATAAAATTTTGAATTGGAAAACATATAAGCCGAATTATATATAAAAAATTATTATTGTATTTTTTAGTTATTTTTATATTTCTATATCTATAAAGCAAAGGGGTAAAAAAATATTTTAACTCTTAAATGAAATCTCTTTTGGTCATTTTCTTCCTTGAAGATTCTCTTTGTGACAATTTTTTTTTAAACTATTTGAGAAAATCGTCCTACAATAATTAAACAATCATATTCACTATATAATAAAAATTCCGTATATCTTATAAATTTTTTGAAGACTTTAATTTATTTAAAAAATTAAAAGTCTCACATTTAAATTTCTGTGATCAATGATTTATTTTTTTATACAAAATATAAATAATCCTAAAACTATATGAATAGAAATTATCATTTGATAGATATCCATATTAAAAGTGTATATATTTTAATAATTTTTAAGTTAAATTATATACCACATAAAAATAAATATTTAGTTCTTTAAATTTCATTGGAAAAGTATTGAGAACTTAATATTTTAATTTTACAATTTTCATCAAATTTTCAAATACAGTTATAAATTACTAAAATTATTAAAAGTTCACATCGAGTTTTTTTTTTGTTTTCAGCAGTTTAAATTTTTTTTGTTTTAAAAAATACATATAAATCATAAAATCTTATGAGTACAAATTCTTATTTAATAGATAACCATATCAAAAAGTATATATATATATATCTGTTAATATGATTTAAATTTAACTAATAACATGACTCAGCGGGAAGGCTTTGTGGAGAAAGGGAAGGAGGATCACGTGTACAAAATCAGCAAAGCATTATACAGTTTACGATAAGATCCGCGAGTTTGGAACATCAAGCTTGATTGTTTCCTCAAGGAGATGGAGTTCACGAAATGCACCAAGGAACCTGCAGTATATCAAAATAGAGAGAAGGGAGAGCTTCTCATCATAGCTATCTATGTCTTGTTTGTAACGGGGACTTCGCTCAAAGTTATCAAATAATTTAAAGACGATATGTCAAAAAGATTTGAGATCTCAGACCTCGGGAAAATTGCATATTATCTTGGTATAGAAGTAACACAAGGAGCTGATGGCATTCGAATCAAGCAAGGAGGATACACGCAAGGTATACTTGTCAAAAAGAAGATGGATTCATGTAACTATACTCATGTTTTGATGCATACAAATTTGAAAATATCGAAGACAGAGGAGCCTGAGATTAATGCAAAATCCTATCGAAGCATCATAGGATGCTTAAGGTATCTTCTTCATACTCGACCAGACTTGGCATTTTTGGTTGGTGTGTTAAGCAGATATATGCAGAGTCCTAGAGGTCATAGAGAAGCGATGAAGCATCTGTTGCGATATATAAAGGGCACCACAAAGAATGGTCTCTTCTTCAAACGCGATGGAACAACGTAGATTACAGGTTACAGTGACAGCAGTCATAACACAGACGTTGATGATGGAAGAAGCACGACATGGTTTATGTTCTACCTTGGAACCTCGCCGATCACATGAACATCGTGTAAGCAACCTACCTTAGCACTTTCTTCATGTGAGGCGGAGTTCATGGCCACTACAGAAGCTGCAAAACAAGCAATATGGTTAAAGGAGTTAATGGCCGAGATCATGAACAAAGAAGACAAGAAGATCGTTCTGAAGATTGACAACAAGTCAACTATTTCTCTCACCAAGAATTCGGTGTTTCATGGGAGAAGCAAACACATACTCTCGAAGTACCATTTCATTCGAGAATGTGTGGAGTTCAACTTGATCGAAGTAACACATGTACCTGAGTGGAGCAGAAGGTAGACATACTCACAAAACCATTGGCAAGAATCAAGTTCAACGAAATGCGAAGGTTCATCGGAGTTCAAGAAATCAACAAGTCCAAGATTCAAGTTGGAATTAAGGGGGGGGGGGAGAGAATGTTGAATAATTCCAATTAATTTAAAGAGAAAGTTAACTTACTAAAGTGAAGTTTAATGAGTTAAGGAAATAGGAAATAAATCAAGAAAAAGAATATTTTCATATTATTATTATGTTAAGAAGTAGTTTCGACCTAAGAGTTGCAGAGATGTTGGATCCCTTAAAAAAAATAAGAGAAACATATTGATTTAGTTTTGAAAAAATCTAATAAGAAGAATATTTCTTATAATTTGTGTGTTATTGCAACTTTATTAAAAGTGTGAAATTTGAAAGTTAAAAGATTTTGGAGAAAATCGACGTTGTTTTGATAAAATGTGCTTTATAATTCTACTAAACTACTTAACCGTGTGCCTAGTTTAGCACAGTCAACAAGTTTCACATTTAAACAACAAATTTGATGTTTTAAATTGTCTTTTCAAATGTTTATGTTCTGAATGGTCAAATTTTTAAAGTCTCTTCTTCAAATGTTTTGAACCAATTTCTCATAAGTTCGTCTGCACTTTCATGTGTCCTTTACTTTACATGATGCTAATCCAGAGTGCTACCTAAGGATATTAGAAGATCTTGAAGCAATTCGTTTGATTACTCATTTTTAAACCAATGAGGTCTATAACTAGAAGAATGATTTTCCTTCCATACGATGGGACTACGATGTTATAGAGTTTAGAGGGTCTATGTTAATATCGATCTTAAAAGCCTTTGCGAAAAAGTAAATCTGGTGTATGATGCATCCATTAACCATCAGAGTTGGTTTTCTAATGAAACAGTATATAAATTATCTGCTTCTTTAACACTCATGCAAAAGCTAAAAAGAATTCTATTTTTTTTTTCTACAAGTATGTACTCAAAAGAACTTGTATTATTTATTTACCTTCGGTTGTGCAAGTTTATGCTCTTCTAGTCTTGTTCCTTATTCACATTCGAATCGTACGAATGAGTTGTTAGTTACCTTCTTTTGTTTCGCTGCATGTGTCTCAAGAGACAACCGTAATTCTTTTCAATGTTACAGCCAAGATCGGCGTTTAGTTATTGCCACAAGCGTAGATTCTCTGTTCCTCAACGCGAAGATCAAGAGAACATGTTATGTCTAGAGAAAAATGAAGGAAAAAAAAAACATATACTAAATCAATATAATGGTTTAGCCAAAAGGCAGAACACACTAATAAGTATCATAAGAGAGCTGTACAAGCAATAGGTCTCAAAAACATCAAACATAAAAAGCAAACTCCAATAATGTGAAAAGAACAATGAACAAATCTCTGTCCTAAAAACCCATAAAAGCGTTTTCAAGGCTTGTAACCATAGGTACGGCCATAACTGTCATCTCTCTTGTTGTTCCTCAAAGCACAGCAACCAACAGAGTAGACAATGATGAGGAAGACGAGGAAGATGATGTTAACAACAGCAACTTTCTTCCACGCGCTCTTGACATTGTCGAGGAGACCCGCTTTGCAAGATTGGCAATCGAAGCAGAGCTTGTTCGGTGCGTTGTCCCAGGATTGACAGTCTGGATCAGTGTGTGTCCCGGCCGGCTTGGTCCAGTTTGTGGCGCTTACGTAAGTGAATTGGCATCTCTCTGCGGGTTTGCAGCAACCAGACTGTAACACAAAACAATAAGGATTCGTTAGTTAGTTGTAGTAAGACATCAACATTCACATCGAGAATGAGCTTCAGATACTATTAGACTATCTTCTCACAGAGTGAAAATAGAGACACAAAAAGCGAAAATAATACAAAACTGCTAAGAACAGAACATAACTGCATATTATGTTAGAATATCGTCATGCGTCTTATGTTTTTTTTTTTTTTGAAAAAAAAAAAGGGTTAAACCCGGGTCTATTAAAGACACAGACCTAACCCCCGGGTGGAGGTACAGCCCACGGATAGACCCTCTCCTGGGCATTCAAATGGGTCGAAAGCGATAACCCATATCCGTGTAGCCAGTGGGATTTGAGATGCGTCTTATGTTTATTTGTTCAGATTCAATGATCATGCTTTTGTGATCTAAAAAAAAGTAAAATCTTTAAATCAGAAAAGTAAAGTTAAATAAGAAATCAGAATCTAAACTCAAACGCTCCAAACTAATACAAAACTACACCAAACAGAACGTATACAAAATTTGAGATCTTTATATTTTTTAAAAAGGCTGAAACTTTATAAATGAAAAAGTAAACCTTTTGTGTTAAAAAAGGTTTGGATCTTTAAAAGACATTTTAGGGGTCAAAAAGGTCATGTCCTTTCAAACCTTTGATCACAGCGCGGACAAACAAAAAAACAAGACAAACTTTGAAACATGGAACTAGACCCAAGGTTTGAATCTGTAATAAAATAAAAATAAAAGCTTTACCTGAAGGGCAGTAAGGTGCTCATCGTAGAACTTATTCACAGGTTCATTAATAAGCTTAGCTTCAAGTTTAGAACAGACTTTGCTCTCAACAAGACAACTCCTAATCTTCCTCCAGTTCTTGTCACTGTTGACACGGTTCTGCAACCAGTTAGAGTAATCTCCAAGTCTATACTCTTTGTACCCTCTCTCAGAAATTTTCTCCCCTGCGCCTTTGTTAGTCACAACAAAGGCGAAAATAGTAAAGCAGAAGACGAGGAGGATCAAGAGGAACATGACAAAAAGATATGTCCAGAGAAGCCATGTGATTCTGCAACACGAACCGATCAAACCAGCGATCGCTACAACCATGAGGAAAACTCCTAGAGCGATCACGGGCTTGTCGAGGAAACGCTCACACTCGGTTGAGCCTTTCTGACTAAGCCATATACCTCCGGCTAAGATGGGGATCGAGAGGAGGAAGACGATGAAGTTGAGAATACCAACGAGATTGTTGCTACAACGAACCATGGTTTCAAAAACGATTAAGAAGTGAAATTTTGAGATGGGTTTGGTGGGTCTGGGGAAGAGAGTTATATAGAGAAGTTTTAAACGCAACGCGTGAGAGGAATGGGAAGATGCAGAGAAGTTTCTGTATTGCTTAGCGATGATATCTCTTCTCCTTCTCTTATGAAGTTGTCGAGAGTCTTGAAAGACTTTGTGCTTTCTTTGACTCTTTCAACTTCCACGCGTTTAATTTTGAGTGGTGGATATTACAGACTTGCCTAATCTGATTAGGACTTGCAAATGTGATTAGGACATGTGAATGTGATTAGGACTAATTATTATTTTAATTTCTACTATGTCAAATAATTGAGATATTTTCCTTGTTGTTTTTACTTGCGTGAGAGAGATGGCCAAAGGTTTCCAAAGTCTTATTTGCTTTTGTTTACTCGTTTATTTCGTCAACCGTTTTACTAGTATTATATAACTGAAGAAAACTAACATCACTAAACTGGAATTTGTTTTTGTACTTTTATTTGCACACGCGTTTGGGTGTTTATTAGAATCGATTCGAGTATTTCAAGTATTAAGATATTTGGGTTTTGGGACGAATGATTTGTTAGGATATTTTATATATTATGATAATCATGAAGTTCCCAAATTACTTATAAACTTCAAAATAAAAATATAATATATATAAAAATTTGAACATACCCAAAATAGTTTTTTATTATAAGCCATTTAAAAGGTTTAATTTAACTTAGTTATTTAGATTTTGAACACTAATTTCATATACCCATTTTTAGTTTTTTTGGATATTTTTTCAAGTACGTATTGAAATCAAATAATCCATATCCGTAATTGCAAATATTTTATTTCTACTATGCCATGTAGTTGAGATTTTCTTCTTGCGTGAGCGAGATGGAAAGGTTTCCAAAGTCTTATTATGGTTTTGTTTACTCGTATACTTGGTCGACGGTTAAAACAAAACCACTGAATTGCAATTTGTTTTTATACTTTTGGAGGCTGCGTTACTGCATTACTAAATGAGATAATTGGAAGTAATTCAAATTACATAGACCCTTTTATTTTAATTTAGATTACATGAACTTATTTTAAAACATGCTGATATCGTCTGAACATAAGTAGATCAGTGGTTTTAGAAAGTTCTTTGATGTTTCCTCTCAGTGAATGGTGACGTCTCACAACGGCCTTGTAGATTACCAGTTAAAGCGTGTTGAAGCTCCTGTTTTTCAAGGTGACGGGCCAAACCTGTTGCGTTTCTTTTTCCCTATTTGGCGGCTAGTTTATATTGGGTCGCTGTCTAGCTCGTGCTGATAGAATTTTTCCATCAGCAGAGCTTAAATTCCAGGGTTTTTTTTCTTTTTTTGTCCGCCACCCATTTGGTTTAGATCAATTGGTGGACAGACGAATCGATCCTCCGAAGAGCATCTCCATCTGGCCTAGTCTGATCTATATGGGAGAATACAAATTTTTTCCTTCTTGCTTCTTTAGCTAGTGCATCTGCTCGGCCATTCAAACTCCGAGGAATATGAGACAGCCGCATATCATCGAAGCCCTCTTGAAGCCTCTTCAGGATCTCGATCTCTGTAGCAAAGGCCGGCCAATTCTCCGGATTTGTGCTCATGTCCATGAGATCCGAGCAGTCCGTTTCGAACCGAATTGAGGAGATCCGCAGGTCTCGCAGACATGAAGCTGCCCATAGTAAACCTTCCATCTCTGCGTGCAAGGCTGAGCGGCTCCTGTTGCATGCTCGTAGTCCAAATCACTCCGAACCCATTTGATCCTTAAAGTTCCACCCTAAGCCACTTACACCGCCCTGCTCGATCCATGAAGCATCGATTTGGCAGGAAGGGATTCCAGGGTTATAATTCAGGATTGTTGATTAAATTTTATTTCGGTATTGCTGATTTTATTTATTAAAATAGCACATTTAATCAAAAAAACAACTTACATAATCCTATTTATTTAACAGGATCGGGTCTTTTGTAATGGTGGAAACATCAAATTCTATTTGATTTCTTTTGTTTGGAAAAAGGGAAATATTTGTTAAACATTTGATTATATATGAACATTTATCCAGTCAAATATTTGATTTTTCAAAGTCTGATAATAACCGACTAAACTATTTATTGATAACTATATATCAAAAGATTTGAAATTTAATTTTTAAAATACATTAGTATACAAGATTTCACAAGGTTGGATCTTCTCTTTCAGATTATTATTATTTTTCTTGAAAATTTCTCTTTCAGATTTTATGTTGATTTTATTTTAACGAATTGGTTTTCTAAATTGTGTTTAAAATATTTACTATAGTATATTGTTGGCAAAATATAGTAATTAAAAATAAAAGTCTACTAATTAATAAAAGAAACTAAAGAATCTTCAACATAATACGAAAATCTTCGCTATAGTTTTATTTGAGTTACCGTCGTGTTTCTATCTAACTATGTAAAATCCATTTATAATTCATCTTTGTACAATGGTAGAATAGTAAAAGTGTAAAATAGTTGTTCTGTAAACAGGTCTATAATTTGTAATACGAAAATAACCGATGAAAAATAACAATAATTGATCATCTATCTTGCATATATTGTGAATCTTATTATATAAACCTTGGTTTTCAAATTTACTAATTAACATGATTGTGACACATAACAATTATATATTTAAGATTGTGATATTTGTTAAATTATCTCAAAATTAATATATATATAAATATAATATTTAGATAATGACAAAACGAATGTTGTTAAAAAAAATATTTTAGAAATATTAAGTAATAGTAATTTTATATATTTTAAATACTAAAATAAAAGATATTTATAAAAAAATATTGGATAATAATTTTCCTTTTAATATATTATTTAGATAATGTCAAAAACGAATTTTGTTAAAAACCTAATTTAGAAATATTATGTAATAGTAATACGATGTAATTAAAATATCTTATGATTACAAATATATATACTAAGATAATAAAAAATAATTTTAAAGATATAAATTTTATGTTTTTAAAAAATTAAAAAAGTTAAATGTTTTAATTCATTTTCCTTTTACAAATCCTAAATAAAAAGATTTAAAATCATAAAACGAATTTTTAAAATAATAATTTTAAATATGGTTTAAAAGAAAAAAAAAGTAAACAGTGTGTAATTGTAGTTTTCATTTTTTTTACAAACCCTAAACAAAAAATATATTTGTAAAATAATTTATTTATTACAAATTTGCATTATCTAAAATCTTAAAAAATATTTTTTGATAGTAATTCCTCTTTTAAAGATTTTATATATGTTAGAATATATCATTATTAACAAAATATATATAAAAAGATGATGAAAATGATTTTTACTACTAAAAGTAATTGTTTTAAAAAAATTAGTAACAATATTTATAAACCATGTTCTTTTATAAAATTTTGAACAAAAAAAATTTGCAAAATATTTTATTTTATTTTAATTTTCTTTTTCCAAAATCCTGAAGAAAATGTAATTAAAAAAACTCTTTTATAGTAATTGTCCGTTTCTGAAATCTTGAATATAAGAAAATTGTGAAAGAATGTTTAATAGCCGTTTTCCATTCTTCAAATCCTATACAAAAAATATTTGTAAAATAATTAATTCAAATATTATTTATGTAAGATGATGAAAATGATTTTTATTATTAAAAGTAATTTAAAGTTATTGTTGCTATAAGATGATGGTTTTATTATCATTAATTACATGATAAAAGTGATGATCAAAATTATTTCTATGGTTGAATAATTAAAAATTCAAAAACACATAACCAAAAAATATTTATGGTAACAAATACTTAAGAAGTTAAAAACTTACAGTGACAATAAAATTTCACTAAAATGACCAATGAATATCAGAATAGATTTAAACAATAATAATAACATATTTAACGTTAAATAAAACAAACATTGAATTAGTACATACCAAGTGTATGATATGTGTATGATATTATCATTAACTTGATTGACCTTATTTAACTTTCAAAATATTTTTATTTCACTCTAATTTTTAATTTGAATTAGACTTGTTTTAAACTTTTAGGTATGAGTATTTTCTCTGACCTTAAGTATAAAGTTAGCAATAATTCACTTATGTGCAATGATTATTAAAATACAAATATTAACAACAATTTATATGGGTAAACAAACTTTAAATTCTGAAATATCTCACACATAATATACAAAAATAATCCTAACATATTAAATAGTTTATTATTTTATGTTATTTGTAAATTTAAAACATCAAATAAAACATGAGTTGATTAAAGTACAAATACTAACCGGAACTTTATGGGAAAACAAATTTTTAATTTTTAAAATAAATCTCACACAACATATGCGAAACAAACCCCCAAACTATAACGTGAATTATTATTTTTATATATTTTATAAATATTAAAGCATTAAATAAAACTCGTGCAACACACGAGCCCATATCTAGTTAGATAATAAAAGAGGGGAATTCCATGTTTTTAATGTATAAGTATAAAATACCCTTATATAGAGAATTATAAGTTCATAGAAAAAATAAAACTAACATTAAGTAGGAAAAATAAAAAAATTAAACCAAAAAGAAATAGAAAATAGTACAAATCCTACTCCAACATGGATTAGGAAAAACCCAATCCAACATGGATTAGGAAAAAAAACAAATCCTAATCCAATAAAGATTATGAATACTTGGCCGACTATAAGACCTAATAAACGGGCTGGTTATGGATAGGCCTACACGGACCAGTTATGACAATCCACAATATGGTTTATAACACTCCCCTTTGGATGTCATAACCAGAGGCGGACCCACCTTAAACAAAGGGGGTGCAGCTGCCACATGTTAAAAATATACTTTAGCAAGTTTGTCATCTTGCATTGAAAGTTCCCTAGCCCAAGTGGTTCGTTTCATCCCGGTTTGACATTCCTTTAATCTCACAACCCGAGTTCGAAACTTCCATTTGCACTTTTTATAAAAAAAAAAGAATTTCATTTTAATTTTAAGTTGGGCTAAGTCTAATTAGTGACACCCCTAAAATATAATTTTGGGTCCGCCACTGGTCATAACCATGTAATACGCTTTGGATGTTGGCTCACTAAAACCTTTCCAGGAAAAA